TATATATACTTGTGTTGAAGAAGGCTTATAATAGTACAAAATATATTTTATAAATAATAAATGACTAAAATTAGCTATTTTTCGAATGCTTTAAAATACCTTTTATATAAAATAGAATGTGAAGATCCATGCATGAAAATACTTCCGTTCCATTATATTCTGACTGCGCAATTCATCATAAAATCGCTTTTGGAGGAAAGTCAATTGCAGAAATAAATATATATAAAAAAATTCCATTAGATTTTACAAATATTTCAATAGAATATAAAGAGTATATTTCTTTCCCTAACAGAGATGGATCTCCAGGTTCCCAGTTGGTCACCAACGAGTTCAAACTGCATTGGGGAAGCTACCTCGCAAGTCGTCGAAATCACATTTATGCCTGGATAGACGGAAGAGGTAGCGGGTTTCAAGGAGACAAGATGATGCACGAGGTCTATTATAGACTCGGAGGTCCAGAAGTGGAAGATCAAATAGAAGTTACGAGGTCTACGAATATTGAATTTTAATGCGATATATTTTCCGCATATTTGCCTTTCTTATCTCTCTTCTTTATTTTTGCACGTATTTTCGGTAGAGAGCTTCTGGTTTTCGTTTAAAAGTTTGGTTAGTTGTAGGTGTACAGCCAATTCTAAATTGGAAACTTATTTTTTTTTCGAAATATTTATTTAAGTTTCGCGTGGTTCAGTGAGGCTTTTTTGAAGACATTTTCTTAAAGTTAAAGCGTTTGTTGAACTTTTGTTTAAAAACAATAGGTCATATGTTAAAATTTATTAGGCATACTGATTTTTTTAATGCCCACCCGATTGACACTCGACATCCAGGTATAGTAGGGCAGATATGTTTTCACTCTTTCAAGGGCACCATATTAGGTGGCCGTACGGTTTCCCTAGGACAGATAGTACTGAGAGTGAGAAAAAATCTGTGCCTTGTCCGAGATTCGAACCCGAAACATTTTTGATATAAGGTCAGTTCTCTGACAACTTCGCAGTCCGGTCGGCTAATTAAGTATACTAAAACTGCTAAAAAAATATTCTATGAAAAATTTCAAAAGAAGTAAAATTTAAATATTTAAAACCCTTTCAACTTTTTTTTCCAATTTTTCGATCGAATAAAAAACTAAATCTGGCTATTATTCATTAAAAAAAATTAAATAAAAACTAGTCATTCCTTAATTATTTTTAATTATTTTTTGACATTAAAATGTTTTAAAAGTGTCTAAAGTTAAAATTGTATATTTTTTATATTTTATTAATTACTTTTCCTGATATAATCCTTCAAAATATAATTTATTTTCAATTTTGCGAAGACAAATTCGGTAAAAAATATAAAAATAAATATTTTCCGACTTTGTTTTTTTATTTTTATTGTTTAAAATTTAGAGCAAATAGAATCAATATATTAGAAAAACGAATTTAATATGAAAGACTGCGCTTCAAATGAAGTTCACATTGAGACAATATAAGCAAAAATATGAAAATTGTAGTGATAATATTTAAACAGCAATGTTGGATACAGAAGACTTATAAAAAACATTCCTAATAGTAATTAACTCTTTTTTTGTTGAGATTTTTACATTATTTTTAGTTCACATTTGAATTTTTTACATGCTTTAATTTATCAATAACTATATTTCAATTAATAATGACATCTCTGATTGATTTTTCCTTGCTTTTAACGCTGTTAGGTGATTACTCCAATCGATATTATAATGCAAAGAAAACATATTGAATGTTTCCTTTTCCAGAAATAGATTCGTGAGGATATTTTCTTATTGGAAATTATCATTATGACAAAAAAGAAGAAAAATGTGCTAACTTCTTTGCTGAAATAATTTCAACTTTTTTTTCTCCATTCTTCTACTCTTTTTTTGTTTAACGTTTAAAAAAAATATTTTCACTAAGCTATTTATAGGCAATATACTAAAGATTTTAGAATACTTTTGAATCAAAAAGAATTTTTTTTAAACAGATATCTGAAGGAAAATCTTGCATTCATTCATCCGAAGCACACGGCCATATGGGGATGGTTCTACGGTGGTTACGTTGCTGCAAAAGCACTTTCTCATGAAAACACCGTGTTTAAATGTGCCATGTCTGTGGCACCAGTGACTAGTTGGATATATTACGGTAAGATATGAGCATCTTTCAATTACTTACTTAAAGTCCTTTTAATGAATTAATTGCTTTCATATTTTAATTAACAAAATGGGTTTACTATGAAATTGAGATTCTTCATAAAAATATATCTACCAAAAACAAGTTAACTAGAAAATAGGCAAATTCATACTCAAATAATATGACTGTAAAATACTTATGATTTATTCATTTTATAGTATAAGTAAGCTATTTCATTCTGTTAAATATTTCTAGCTGGAACCAAAATAATATTGCTCACGGATAGCTGAAATTAACATGTATTTAAAGTAGTATATTACTATAATATTCTTAACGTTGCTTCGAAAATTGACTAAGATAATTTTAATCGATAAAACAACTGTTTACTGTCATAGTTGCTAACTTGCAGTCTAGCTATCTAGATCTCCATCTAGCTATCTTACGAAAAATTTGATTAACTTGCTAAGAAAATACATAGATTATCTAAATTTATGAATATGCATGCCTTAGTTTCAAAGTACAAAAAATAAAAAAAGCAAAACCAATGAGTGAAGAAATTTGAAAAATTATGCAAATCATTGCGCATTAATTCATGCCTACTTTAAACATTATTTTTTTCAACATTTGAAACCTGCTGTAAAAAGGTTTTGAAATATGTAGAGTTATAGAATAGTTGGTTTGAATTCGTGTAACTTTATATCAAAATATCTCTTTAATACACAACTTTCCAGAATAATTACAAAATAGAAAACTAGTTTCTTTGCAAGAACGATAGGTAAGTGTGCCGAAGGGCTCAATCAGTTAAGAAAGTTATGGAGTTTTAAAATATATATTTTTATAAATTTGCATTATACGAATAAAATTAATGAATTTCGGTTATTTTCAAATGCGTAATCATTTACATTTTTATTTAAATAAAAGCGCTACACATTTTTTAAAATTTATTTATTCATTTTTTCCTTGTATTAGATTCTGCATTTTCGGAACGATACATGGGAACACCAGCACCGCAAGACAATTATATGAATTACGAAAAAGCAAGTCTTGTAAAAAATGCCGAGAAATTGAAGGGAAAAAAGTTGCTTTTAGTTCATGGAACAGCTGATGGTAATGATTGTGTCTTGTAATTGTTTAACCAAGCAAAGTTTTCAAAAAATCAACATTAAAAGTTTAAATTTTCTCTTTTTGCAGAAAAGGTGCATATCCATCAAACATTAATGCTCATGAAAGCCCTAGTCCAAGAAGGCGTGCTTTTCCAATCACAAGTACGTTATTTTATATATTTTTAGCATATAATTTTCCTTAGAACCATACTTTTATAAGTAATACAAAACTTGCGCAGATTTCTTTTTTACCACTATGAATCTTTCACGTTTGTAGTGACATATTTATGAAACTGTTTTAACTTTGGTACTTTGAAACTAGCGATATTGTGGTTAAATCTGGATGGAAATAAGTTCAATTTAATAGATCATTAGAGTTGTTGAAAATTTGCTAAGTTCAAAGCACGTTAGTTCAAGGTACCTCAATTATAATCCAATGTTGAACTATTTTTTCTGATTGCCAATGCTATATGAATCCCATCAACCAGTCTTTACCTAGCTAAAATAGACAAAGCAAACAGTTTGTAAGTTTAGATAAAAAAGAGTTTGGAGAGTGTAATGATTCCAAAGTGACGGGACAGGATGGTCGAACGTATCAACCTGACAAATGCGTAATAACACACATTTTTTTCTAGGCAGTAAAAGAACGACAGTTCAATACTCTCGTTACGAAGCGATTAGGACGTCTCTGTGAAATGCTTCGAGGTTTTGCAAATAAATTGATCATTGATTTAATTTTTAATTATATTATTATTCTGGTAAGTGAACCTTGCAAAGTTTAGATTCCCTATCTGAAGTGAGCGAAGCCCGCTCACCCACCCGTAATATAAAATTCTTTACTAGTAAAATAAAAATCTTTACTAGTGGTTTTAATCAAAGGAATTTTTATTCATCTGACGCTGAACTTGTCCGAATAAACTTTTACGAATAAATTTATTCCAATTACTTTTACCCATGGTCCCTTTTAGCCTGGCTGTAACCCATGGTCCGTCTGCTACTGAGAATGTTTTACGTTAACACTGTGGTCGATGCGAGGCGGGGATGGAATTCGTTTCGACCAGCCATGGCTGGGATTCGAAACTGGTTCACCTCTTCTTCTGAGGCAACATGGCTCGCTTTTTTTACTGATATAAGAGACATTTAAATTTTGACAAACTGTTTTCTACTGAATACAGAGCTATACAGCGATTGCTGATCCGTTATTAAACTGCTCACGACTTACATTGGCCATAATTGTTGCTGTAATGTATTATCAGTTGCATAAATGACTCATGTCCTATGGTTCCCTTGACAATTGAATTAACTGAGTTACGGTTTTTGCCTTAGTTAACTGTTTAAGAGGACAAGTTTATCCTAACTTTTTGAAAAAGAAGTTCCCTCTTCTCGGCTGGTTTCAAAATTACGTGTTGACAGCGTGAAGTAGCACAGTATCTGATTTTTTAAATAAGTTATTTAGAAATTGACAATGAAATAATATAAGCGCGTAGAATGTTAATTTCATTTCTTACATTTATAAACGTATTTTGGGGTTCTAGTTGCTAATTTTATATGAAATATGCATAACGAATCGAACAAATTTACGGTACTCTTTATTTTGCGTTAAGTTAAAAATAAATGCGCGCATTTTTCTTTATATCCACGGAAATAATAGTAGAAATATATGAATGAATGTAATTTTTCTTCTTCTTAGAACTACGAATATAATAGTAGAAATGTAAAGATAAATGTACGCCTTTCCCTTAGAATCTTGGAAATAATAGTAGGAATAAAGAAATAAATGTACGCTTTTTTTGGTTGGAAAAATAGTAAAAATATAAATGTAAATAAACGTTTTTTTTTCTTTAGAATTAATAGCAGAAATGTATCAAATCTCTCTCAATAATGAACTTTAAATATTGAAAAATTTTCTGGATTCTTTGAACTAAGAATATTTTAGATACATTTGCGAAGTTAAATTGTAAAATGAAATACATATTTAATTCTAGAGATCGATTAAATGTAATGCAGTCAAATATAAAAAGGCTGTATATAGTGTCCATAGCATTTAGCATAGTTTTTTTTTTAACATCACACTCCCTTTGACGACACATCGATCCTAGAAATTTTTTAGCGATCTATAATAAATTCATAACTATTTACTTAAAAAATATTAAAATTATAAATACATCTTCTTCAATAAATTTACATACATCCTCGCTTCCGGAAAATTTTTAAGGATGACAGAAACGTAGAAAATTATTATAAATCTTTTTATTTTATAGTAACAAAAATATGTCATAAAGTTATAGTGCCGGCTATAATTTTCACAAACGTGAGTAAAACAAATAGAAAAAGGCATTTTCCGCATTGCTTACGTCATCATTCCGTTTTTCCATAGATTTCCTTTTCACCTGAATAGTGCCATTTCCGAGTAATATATTCAATCCATTTTCCAATCTCTTTCAGCTCTATCCAGATGAAGACCACTCTCTTTTCGGAGTTCGACGTCACCTGTTTCGAACAATGGAAGATTTTCTGAATGAGTGCTTTTACATTCAAAGAAAAGACGAATACGAGAATACGAGAGTTAAAAAAGATATAAAATCCCCGTAATTCTATGGTGCATCAAGAAAAAGTATTCCAAGAGTTTTTGAAAACTGTACACACAAACACATCAAAAGGGCACTTACCTTTTGAATCGACATCCTCGATCGATCTTGATATACAACTGTGTATTTTTCCGTCTTCATCATGTTGAAATTTGGTTCTATATTCGTGTTTGTAATGCAAAAACATGAAATGGTCTACTCATTTCAATTGCATATGATCTAATGAAAAGTGAGTAAAATATGAAGTGAATACAAGTAAAATGTAAATCTATTTGTTAAATAATTGATATCAGACTTATTGCTTTGTGCTTTGTAACTGAACCTTCATTTGGTGGAACTGTTCGTGGAACTTTATTTATAAGCAAATGTTCTTTTAGATCAATAATTTCTGCAATTCAATTGCTATATACATTTTTTAGTTCCATCGATACCTTCATCTGATTGAATAAGTTTGTTTTTATTTGTTGAAACAGTTTAAATATTCCCGAAAAAATTAAGTCAAACCTGCAATCAAACGAAAAAAAGGTATATGATGCTCCATTATCGTTTTGGAGTATTTAATTTTTAATATTGGATCATTTAGGTTAGTTTTTATCCGTCTGTAATTGGTATTATTTGAAAACAGTTACAGTAATATGACTGTATATGAGACTTATTAGATACTACATGGATGCTTTAGTTCAATCAATAACTTCATCTCACAGAATAAATTTATGTTAGTCCAAACAGTTAAAATATTCCCCAAAAAATTATGTCAAATCTAAAATTTAAAGAACAAAAAATGTATATGATGCCTCATTATCATTTTGGAGTATTTACTTTTATCCATATTTGTTCATTGAGGTTAGTTTTATCCTTCTGTAATTCATATTATTTAATAAGAGTTACAGTGTTGTGACTGTATATGAGACTTACAAGATCGATGGAGTATAATTATCATTAAATATGTTAAGTAATACTCTAATCGGATATCTCCAAGGAAATAACATAAATATTGTATCACATTATGTAAGAGTTGCGTAAAAATTGTAGACACTTGTCATTGTATCACCAATTAAGTTATGTAAACAATGGTACCATTCAGGGTAATGAAGGAAGGAAAGTTCCACATATTTGATTAATCAATTCATTTCGGAGCATTGAATATAAATTGTGCTAATAAGTGAATATAAATAGTGCTAGAAGTGATTCGTCTCAAGAATCGTACTAGTATTCTTCGATGTATTTAAATGTTGAAAAAAAAATTGTGCTTTTTAGCAATGATTGCTCCATTCCCTTACGAAGTGCTGCACAGTTGTTCTCAGTTACAATTCTCCGATTCCCACTTCTTTATTTTAATAACTGCAATTGAAAATTTTCCTGAAGATCACGCCTTGGTCTCAGCAGATCAGACATTGATGTTCAGTGCTCAAAATAAAAAACGGATCACTCCGAATAACTTTTAATCTAATGATTTTAGTCATCATGTTTTATGACTCAATCTTAACAGTTTGAGGGAATGTCCTCAGATATGATAATTAATTGGTGTCCATGTTTTAAGTTACGAAATGAGATATAAAAACGTACTTTCTCGAAATAAACATACCTTTCTTTCGACGGATTCAGATTTTTGTTAATTTTGCATTTTGCATATTTCACCATCTCTTGATAGCTTTTTAAGCAAAATGAAGAATTTTTTAGAACAATTATAATTTCTTTTTTTGTGGATAATTCCACGAATAAAGTAACTATTTATAGATTTATTTATTAATAGTCGAAGCAAATTTTGAATTGCAATGTATACAATCGCTTACATCATTTTGAAGAACGTAAATTTACATGGCAAAATGCAAAATTTGAACGTATTTGGTTTAACAGTTCGTAAGACATCAAATTTTAAAAATGCAACTTTGTAAAATTTGATTTCTTAGGAGCTATTCGTCCAATTTCATTCAAATTCTGTATCTTGCGGTATTCAGTATTTCTGTATTTACATTCTTTAAAATGGGGTTGGAGATTATATACCTTTATACCTTTACTTTTTCAGACTATTATGAAATAAAATAATAAAAATTAAGAAAAACTTACTAAAAGTTATTTTTTGCATGGAATTATTTTTTTTAACAAAAGAATTTTGTAGTTATGTGCAAAAGTTTTACAATTCTTTTAAAAAGTTCTTGANAATCAGTCTCAACTAAATCTAGCCATCTCAGCCTGGGTCTACCTCTTTTCCTGTTCGTTAGGGGTTTGTGTAATAGGATTTTCTTTAAATTTGAGTCATCATTCCTTCTGAAAATGTGAGCTGCCCAGTTCATTCGATTTATTTTAATGAATTTCACAATATCTGGCTCTCTGTAGATTTTATACAGTTCAGTATTATATCGTCTTCTCCAGGAATTATTTATTTTTATCCCACCAAGGATGGCCCTCAAAACTTTTCTCTCAAAAATGGCTCAAAAAATATTTATTAATAGTCGAAGCAAATTTTGAATTGTAATGTATACAATCTCTTACAACATTTTGAAGAACGTAAATTTACATGGCAAAATACAAAATTTGAGCGTATTTGGTTAAATAGTTCGTGAGACATCAAATTTTAAAAATGCAACTTTGTAAAATTTGATTTCTTAGGAACTATTCGTCATATTTCATTCAAATTCTGTATTTTGCTGTATTCTGTATTTCTGTATTTACATTCTTTAAAATGGTGTTGGAGATTATATACCCTACAATTCAAATTTTTTCGACTATTACGAAATAAAATAATAAAAATTAAGAAAGACTTGCTAAAAGTTATTTTTTGCATGGAATTATTTTTTTAACAAAAGAATTTGATAGTTATGTGCAGAAGTTTTACAATTCCTTTAAAAAGCTCTTGAGATATGGTGAAATACGCAAAAATTAAAATTAATAATTTTGAAACGGTTAATCATTTGGACGCAAATACTGTAAACTCGTCTTCCTTTATAACCCTGAACTTTATAAAGTAGGATAATAACCCCCCCCCACCGGATGTCGCTGCTATTGATATTGCATTTTTGACGTCATTGTTTATGTCTACTTATCATTTGGGCAACTCTTATGTTTTTCATCATTTAAATCGCGTTAAAGTTGAATAAAAATCGATAATTATGATAGCTTATTCATATGTACTAAATACAAACAATTATGATAATTGTAAGGGAATGTTAGTTAAGAAATATAATTGCACAAGAAATTGCAATAATTAACCGGCATCATTTCAAACGGAAGTATCATCCATCATTTTATGTTAGTTTACTACATAAATTTTATTTTTTAATTATCCGCATAAATAATGTTAAGAATAAAATAGAACTACTTTGAAGGATAACAGTATTTTTTTTCTTAATCTTTTTACACTGTTTTTCAACCAACTATAAATGGATTACAAAGGTGCTAAAAGTAGAAAGAGCTCAGCCTTGAAAGTAAATTGGTGCTTGAGCAGATGTAATTCTTTTTATTACTCAACATGTATAAATAATAAAAAGTACCTATTATAATTTACTTTTAAAGATAGATGAACTAGCAATTAATATGCAGTTAGCATGTGAAAGAATCTGCATGGAAGTATTTACTTTCTATTAAAAAAAAATCAAAATTTAGCAGCAAATTTCGTAGGCAATTCAAATGTTTAAACAACTTACTTTTTCGTATCACTTAAATTTAAAGTATTGGTTTCATACACACTAAGCTTGCTGCAAATTGTCTAGAAAAATAATCGTTTTTTTGTTTAATAGATTATTATTATAATTTTTTTACTGTCATTCAGCAAATAGTGAAAGATTCCATATCAAATTACAGTGAAATGTACTGATACCCTGAATACCGGTACTTCTTTCCGTATTTTGATACGAATTGTGTATCAACGGCAATTTCAATTTTATTTTCTCGAATTTACTTGTTTTCAATTCTTTTATTTTTTCAAAAAACATATGCGTTAAAAGTACGACTTTCTAATTAATAACTAACAGCAAATGTGTTTGTCACAATACTAATGCATTAAAGCAGTGTTTTTTTATAACAGTATTAAGTTATTTAAATATCATATTTACAATACGTTTTGTTTAACTTCTATTGAAATACCACAAATTGAAGGCTATCGCAATTTGCATTTATTTATAAAGTGTTTAAAGCTTGTGAAAAGTATAGAAGGAAAGCATATTATATATATATTGTTGATGATGAATTCAAAAATGATTTATAAATGATGTTATCTTATCTGCTGTTAAATTACATCATGTGTCTAACCCTTTCTCATTAGGAATTTTAATAGCTATGTAATAGCAATATTTACGTTGATAATTAAGCTTTATTGAAAAGAATTCAGCCAATTTTAAAATATTCATTTTGATAAAGCTTCGAAATAGAATCACGATATGGTACTAACAATATATTATTTTTCCTTCAAAAAAGAAAAAAAAAATTCAACAATATTTTGCATATTATTGTTGTATTTCTGTCGCGTATATGTTAATGTAAATTTTGTTGTGTTTTTTAATGCATGCTTTAAATTTCTGACAAAAGTCAAGTTCAACAAGTTTTCGTTTAATTTAGTTAATATTTCGAAGAAAAAAAATTTAATTACCTGAATACTATCAGTTTGAATTGTTTCTGGACGAGGAAGAAATTTATTCAATGTGATTGTATCAAAATTCAATCTGTAAAAATGTTTATAGATCCCATCTTTTTAATCATTAATGTAGATGTTTCTATTAGTTAACATTATCACCAAAATGATTTGATAATGGATATACCAAGGAGAAGGAGACTAGCTTCCATAGAAATAATATAAACCGGCCCTCTTCAGGGCAGGCCATGAATATGAAGAGAATTAACATTTAGGGAAGCAGCAGAAAAGTTCTCTCTGTATATAATCCCTCTAGTTTATATCCATTTCATAAAACCAGCCGTATGAATCGAGAATCATCAGAGTGTGTTTTAACGTCTGGTGTGGGAGGCGAGGAGAAATATTTTCCGTTTTGTGCATTTTTACACTATTTAAGATATTGCTTGAGAATTTATTTCTAGCATTCATGTTTATTATAACTGCTAGAATATTTTGAGATGGCACAAAAGAACTAAGTGATGGTTTCCGGGAAGAGGCGTAACCAAGTAAAAATAAATGATTACGACAGATGACAACAATGGCTAACACAGAAGACACAGCTCCTGACTGATATTTGCTTCAAATGCGCGTGCTAAATGTGAGTACGATACTCAGCTGAATCTGGGGATGTTACTTTTTCTGTAGGTTATTTTTCTGGTATAGCATCTTGCACTGAGAGCTGCGTATTCGCTGGACTTCTTCTCCTTTCTATATTCCTTGGTATAACCGCCATAAGAATACCAATACTTATACCAACTAAAAGTGAGATAATTTCATATTATCAACTGCACCATCTGTATATTACGAGCATTTTAAAATCTCTAAGTGCCTTAAGCTGGCTTAAAAAAATATAGGAGGAAATATCTACTGGAAATGCTAGTACGCTTAACTTAACAAAGTAGAATTCTGTGCCTCTGTATTAGGAAAGGAATTAGAAAAAAATGATTTAAAATTATGATAACAAAAATGAAACGAAATTACGGAATTGTTAAAGATTGAGAATTAAAATATGATTAAGTAATATCATAATTCGATTTAAATGAATGTAGTTTTAAAAAAATGTTTTTAATCCCTGACAAAAACTAAACTAATATTGTCAGAATCAGTTTTCGTTGGAAAAAAAATTCATAAATGTAATTCGATGTTAAATGTAATGTAAACTGCATGTGGCCTTGTATACTAGCAGGCTAGTTATTGTTATTGATGTTGCTTCTTATTCATATGAAGGCTTTATAGTTATATTTTATTGGCTCAATTTTAAGTTTATATAGACAAGATGTGTTTGCAACACAGCAAAAACACTGAAATAATTATGTTCCTTTGTGAATATGATTAACATTTGCTCATTAAATATTGCATTGTGTATAGTGTAAAATTTATGATATTAATTTCGTGTAGTTAAACAGTAGAGGTTCTTTTTATACAGTGTCAGTTTTTTTTCAGATTTAAGCATAATTTCTTAAAATTATTTTTAATCAAAAATTTTTATGAATTTTAAGGTATTGAGTGATTTTTATTTAACAAATCTTAAATTTTTAATTAAGTTTGATTATATATGATAACTAATTGAATAATAATAATTAATACATAAAATTTTGAATATTATTTTAAAAAATTGTGTTTTTAGTGCTAAGTTTTTGTACGTGAAAAAAAATAAATCAGTGAAAAAATATTTTTGTCAGACCTAATCGCATCTTAAAAGCTGTGTCCCATTTGTAAAATTGTGATATTGTGATGATGTGACACTTTTGGGCTCTTTGTCCAAGAATTGTTGTAATAAAGTTATTTGTACATCATTAGTAGAATTATTTTTTTTAACTACTGTTTTCATTTTAATGCCACAAGGAGTAGCGTTATCACAACTAAAAGAAAGTTTTTACTTAAATTCCATGTACAAAACAATTGATTGCAAAACTCCGAACAGTGCACACACACATATATATATGGGTGTGTATGTGTGTGT